AAACAGAATATCTTTACAATTGTATATTGTATCCTTTGGGTATGGCCTTGTTCCTTTTTGACACACTCAAGTATAGCCACAGGCTCTCCTGCCCCGGGACCATTGCTTACTATTACCTGCAGCTTTCCTCTGATTATCTGAATGTTTACCACATAACCTTTCCAATTATGTTCTGAGCCTTGAGTTCCCTGGCATTCAGTATTAAAACATAGCCCTCACTCCATGCTCTCTGCCACCTTTCCTGGCTCTATATTTTCTTAGCGCACTAAGGGTAGCATAACCAGTTCGGCATTGGTAGCGCCTGCCTTTAATCCCAACATAGGGGTCAGGGTATGGGGGTGCAGAGGCAGGTGGATCTTTGAGTTCAGAGCCAGTTTGGTCTGAAGAATGAGTTCCAGGACAGCCAGGGCTACATAGGGAAACCCCATCTTAAAAAAAAAAAAAAATGTAGCATAACTATAGCCTATAGCCAGGAACCACTTAACATTTCAGTCAATAGCAGACTGCATGTATCGAAGAGATTATTCCTAAGATTGTCTCCTAGTGTGATTTGCAGATGTGTCTTAGTTTGTGTAAGGACACTATGATAGTACAATGAAATTGCCTGATGTATTTCTCAGAATGAACAATGTTGATTGTATATCAATTACTTCTCCATACTGTTCCATGCCTGCCTCAGGAGGAAAATCCAATCATTGTCTCATTTCTTGATGTAGATCCTCAGCACAGAGAGCAGATCATTGCACACAGTAGGTACTCAGTACCTGGAAGTTGTAAGGGCGTTGTTTGGATGTTAGTGACCCAGTCTCTGAAATGGAGAGGCTATATACAGAGATTTGAAATTGCTGCCCCTCCCCCAAATATATGTAAAATATATGTAAAACTCCAGCAAAGCAAACAGTAAAACACACTGCTGACTTCTGAGCCCAGTTTTGCAGATTTTTAGCCTGAAGCTATCAGCCTAGGGCTGTTGAACTTGACTTCTGAATCTCCGCACACCTACTTATCTTGGTTGAGTGGGTCCATGTCCATCTCCTCTTGTGTTTGCCTAAGTGCTCCCTAGCTAACCCTGTCCCTGGTGGTCTTGTTCTTTGTGTCATGTCCCTCCACCCCACCCCGCTGCCTCAGACTCCCCTATGCTCCTACTTAAGTCTCCAGCCTTTCCACTGCTCTCAGCAATAAAGCAGCTGTTCAGATAGCCATAGGCAACTACGAGGCTGACTGGAGAGCCTGCTCCTGGAACCACACCTAATAGGAAGTACCCATAAAACTCTCCCCAATTCAGTAGAGTCCACCACTCTGCTGTCCCCAGGCAGGACTCACCTAGTGGGAGGTGGAGTCTGAGACTGGGAATACTGGAAACCCTCCTGCTGTGCAGCTCTACACCTGTCCACCCTCTGCATGGAAGTGATTATTCATGCTGCAGGTCAGTAGTACTGCCTGCCACCACACAGAACCCTGCCATCAAAGTCTTAGGGAACAAGCCAGAGGCTGGACTCATGCAGTTTTATTTTATTTTTGGTTTTTGGTTTTGCCCCTCCCCCAACAAAGTTTCTCTGGGTAGCCCTCCCTGGCTGTTCTGGAACTCACTCTGTAGATCACTGTCCTCAAACTCAGAAATTCACCTGCCTCTGCCTCCCAAATGCTGGGATTAAAGACATGCACTACATGGCTCAGCCCTCATGCAGTTTTACATGTGAGCCTTGATTGTCACTTTGTAAATACATATTGAGTTGTGAATACCACATGCTAGATAGTGCACTGGGCAGAACCTTTCTAGTTAAGAGCAAAGAGAGGGCCCAGAACAAATAAGTACTCCTCTTTTCTTGGGGATAAGTCACTGACCACTCACTACCTCATTTCCTTTAGACCCTCAGGGATCTTGAAGAGTACTTATGGCTAGGTGAGTTATGTAGTCTGACTGAACTCCCAAACCTCCCCCCAACCAGTCTAAGTGGCTATCAGTTCATAGAGAAACTATGGGCTGAATCAGGGTTACAGATGGAAGGACTGATTTAACCTCATTCATTCACCATCATTCATCACCAAATACTTACTGAATCTCTACCAGGCATCAACCTAGCAACGGGGGACACACCAAGGAAAACAAGGAAAGCCACCTACAAAACAAATAAACAGGAAAATTAGATTCCATTTAGAAGTGGGAAAGTGTTCCAGGCAGAGGGACCAGTATGTACAATAAGAAGGGGCTCTGTATTGATTCCAGAAGGTAGGCTATGACATCAGGAAATTCATAAAGGTCTGTGTAAAGGAACTGTCAGCCACTGGGAACTATGAAGAGTCAGGCTAGTGGGGAGGGAGACTGGAGAGATGACTCAGCCAGAGGACCTGGATTTGGTTTACAGCAAACACATAGTGCCTTGAAATCATCTATAACTCCAGTTCCAGGGGATCCAACACCCTCTTCTTACCTGCACAGGCACCAGGCATACTCATGGTACACAGACATACATGCAGGCAAAACACCCATATGCATAAAATAAATTTTAAATTTCACATTTCTTATTTTATGTTTATGAGGTTTTTGCCTGTGTGTATGCATGTGTACCACATGGATGCCTGATACTCCCAAGAGGCCAGAAGGGGAGGTCTGAACCCTTGGAACTGGAATTACAGAGGGTGATGAGCCTCCATGTGGGTGCTTGGAATTGAACACCCCCAGCCCAACCTGACCTCTGGAAGAGCAGTCAGTGCTTATAACTGCTGGGGCATCTCACCTGTTCCCTCCTCCCTTAAATTGTTTTTCTTACTTAATTTTTTATTTTATGTGCATTGGTATGAGGGTGTCAGATTCCCTGGAACTCAGTTACAGACAGGTGTGAACTGCCATATGGGCACTGGGAATTGAACTTAGGTCTTCTGGAAGGGCAACAAGTGCTCTTCACCACTGAGCCATTCTCCAGTATCCCCTTAAATTGTTTTTACTTGCAAAAACAAAATTTAAGAGGTAGGGACTATGTACATCTTACAGACTTGGCCTTGTAAGACAGGAAATGCTGTTGTTATCACCAGAGAACCAGTAGGCCTTCTGGTTCGCATAGGCCTCAGGACTGAGAGACACAGGGTCCTAAGTCAAATAATTGAATACCAACACTAAGCACCCCTACATTTCAAAGGTGGAGAGATTGGACCTTATCCTTTAAGTTTCATTCTTGGCAGAGGTTTGCTCTTCAGGTGACTAAGGAGATCCCTTATTGCATAGTAGGGTTAGAGGAAACTCAGAAATGCTGATTCCCAGTAAAGGGACCAACCTGTACAAGAGTTCTGGATATTGACTTGATAAGGGAATCTGATTTGTTGTTTCTTTTTGTCTAAGACTGGGCCTTGAGTATTTCAGCCTGGCCTCAAACTTGAAATATAGCAGATGGCCTTGAATTCCTGCCTCCATCCCCCAAGTGCTGGAATCAGTTTTTTAAAAAGCATCTTCCCATTCCAAAGGCAGGCTTGGGGTGACTTTCAGGGTAAGGACCAGGAGGCACAACAGTGGTGTCACACACCCCTTTCTAGGCTTCTCCAGGTTGCATGGAGGGCTGGGAGGAAGCATCACCTTTCTGATAGCCTAGTTGGTATAATACCATGGGCAGGGTGAGGTGAGAAGTTGTATGGAGACTTCAGTATGTGAAGGGTGGGGTTTAGTACTGTCAGCTACTGATCCTGAGTGTAGAAAAAAGGTAGCTCCTTTCCAGAGGAGATAAGTGCCTCCTGAGCAATAAGAGAAGGTGTGGGGGAGTGGGATGTAGGTATTCTTGGCTTTGAAAACCTGGTTGGGTACTTGAATGGATGTATAGATGCATAAATGAATGGATGTATAGATGGATGTTGTGGGTGGGTGAATGGCTGCGTCTTCAGGGAATGGTTTGGAAAAGGGCTGGCTAGCAAAACTCTTAAGTCCGAAATTAAGTGCTGCATTTCCATCATGTTCCAAGGGTCTGCCTTTAGTGTTCAGCCTCAAAGTCCCAGTCCTCTTTGTCTCATCTTATTCTCTGGCTATCTTCAGGCACTCTCTCGCCGGCCGTTTGTCCCAGGATACCCTAGCCTCTCCCAGTGTCGCCTCCCCAAATGGTGAACATCTAGGTCTATGGTCGCTAAGTGCCAGGATCTCTGCAGTGCATCTCTGTTGTAATGAAGGGTAGCTCTCGAGAAGGTCCCCCTCTACCTGTTTACACCTATACACCCACCCCCACACAGTCGTTTTGTGCCCCAACCGCAGCACTACTTGTTCGCACCTTAAACAGCTATTCTGCGTCTGTGGGATCCTTCAGGGCCAGCTTCTGCCTGCCAAGCTTCAGACCCTACAAGATCACAGGCAGCCTAAGATCCCTGCGTGTGGCCAGAGCACGCACAGGCGCAATGTCCGTACTTTTTCAGTCCCATGGCCCTACACAGCAGCCAGCCCTGTCGCAAACAAGCCCACAAGAATACACAACGCCCTCAGAACACAACCCACTCAGGCAGCCCCGCCCACGCAGTCACACTACCACCTATAAACAATCTCACACAAACACCACCCCCACGCAACCACTGCATCACTCAGTCCCTCTGAGACCTACCGGCATGTTCAGAGGCTGGTTTCTAGCTAATCCCACACCCCCATCCCCAGCCCATGACATTCACACGTAGGGCAGAACAGAAATTTATAGCCACATTGATACACGGTCCTGAACGCACAGCCAAGGGCTCACCCGTGGGCTCGTAAGTCACTGGAAAAAATATTAAAGCATTCCCTCCCGTCTAGCTTTCATACGCGCGCACGCGCGCACACACTTACACACGCGCGCGCGCACACACGCGCGCGCGTACAGCACCCCCTTCCCTCCCCGCCCCCACTCGGTCTTTAGGCGCCTAGAAACCTCACAGCCATGACCTGGCCTTAGCGGTGAGAGCCGCGGGAGCGTCTCCGCTGCGCCCCCTCCTCCCGCTTGCGCCCAGCTTACCACTTCTCCTCCCTGCCCCCTCCCTCTCCTCCCCTCCTCCGCGTCTGGGGCGCGGGCTGCGCGCAGCCAAGCCCCCTTGTCGTGTGCCCCTCCCCGCGCGCGCCCTTCGCCCGCATCGTGCTAGCCCAGTAGATGTGGCCACAAGGCTGTCTCTAATTACCTCCTGTCCCCCGGCGGCCGGTGAATAATGGCTACTGGGGGCACTCGCAGGCGCTGCTGAGCAGGAAGCGAGGGGCTAGAGAGGCGCGGCGCTCACGGGAGCGCGAAAGAGAGGAGCGAGCCCAGCGCCACCGCTTGCGGCGCGCAGAGAAAGGAATCGTGTGAGCGCTCACATTTTTTTCTCCCAAGGATCTCATCTGGCTGTCGGGTACTGGAAGAGGCGAGGGGGAGAGCGCACCATAGCAGAGAGACGGCAGGAGAAAAGGGAGACTACGAGACGCGCCGCGACGGCGCCCCGAGACCCAGGAGGAGCCCGCAGGTATTGTTGGCGGCGGAGCTTTGTGTCTTAGGCGGGCTGCTCCGGGCGAGGGCTCCCTGAATCCCTGCCCACCGCCGCGCTCTGACCTGCAGTGAAGCCGGGCTGCTGATGGGGTTCTTCGCGGGTACCCCTCCCACCGCGATCCTTGTTGGAGTTGCGGGTTTGCGTGTTTGGAGGTTTTCCATGTGGGTGGAGGGGATCAGTCTAGGAGAGAAGGAATTTCTTTTCTTTCTTTCTCTCTCTCTTTTTTTTTTTAATGGCCGCAGCAGTTAGGTTGTGATGGGGATTCTCCCCTCCCTTTTGCTCCACAATACCTTGGTGAGCGGGCTCGGCGACCAAGCTACCCGTGGAAGAATTGGGGCTGAGATGTCGCGGCGGGTGGCCGCAGATGGGGATGCTGGAGAATGAAGGAGTTCATCTCAAGTTCGCAATCTGTGTCCGGAAGCTGGTCTGGCCTGGGAGGGCGTTTCAAGCACCGGTCCTACTGTGAGCAACCAGTGAGAAACTTCCCGAGAGTCCTGTCCCCCGGGGGACAGTTCCCTGGCGCCTGTGGGTGCTACTGCGGGCCCTTCTTCTCAGCCTTGGAGCATTTAAGGTCGCCCCCCCCTTCCCGACAGCTTCCGGATCTGGTGGACTGATCGGCTTCAAACACTTCCCCTAGAATATCCCTCCTCATTCCCTGTAGAGTGAGTGCCCTCTGTCCTGCACCCACCTGCCAAAACAGCGGAGTGGCCAACCTGACAATAAAACCTCATGCCTTTGCGGTGAGGGGCAGGGGTCATGACTCAGCCTCTCCTTTGACTACTGACCCCTGGGCCCTACAAAGGGGAAGGGACTCCCCCTTTCTTCCTTATTTGGGATAGAGAGGTTATCACTGGATGATGTTAGAGAGGAGACAAGTAGGGGTGCCCAGCAGGGAGAGTTGGGGTGCACTGGCTGGGTTGTGGAGTCTGCCTGTCCGGGCTTAACGATTGGTTGATGCCTTTGGGCACGTAGAAGGCCCACTCTAACCTCAGCCTCCTCCCCTCCTGTACAATGCAGCCTGAGAGGTGATCCCGGAGGTGGTGTGCTTGTGTGACGAAGTGCTTGGCTTCCTGAAATCCACAGCACACACCACTGTTCTGGTGACCCAGAGCTCTAATGCCTGCACCTCTCCCTGGGTTGGAATGGGGTGAAGGGCTGCTGAGAGGGGAGGGGAGTGATAGGAACAGTTACTTTCCACACTAGCACCATGGGAATGGAGGTCTATCCTTGAGAGTTCCAGGGTACTGCAGTCCAGAAAGGGGGAGGGCTCAGCCTCAAGGGAGAAACCTCTGGGTCAGAGCCTAGACATAAGCTGTCACATCTTTTCACTTTTGGGTTTGTGGATGGGTGTGAGGCTAAGTGGGCATTATGAATCTCAGCTTTGATAGATTACTGATTGAGCAGCTCAGGGGCAAGGGAGCTGTTCACCATAGGCCAGCTGTTCACCTCTCTCCCTAGAGACAGGGCTCTTGGGGGTTCAAGCAGGCACCTTTGGAGTTAGGGGACTGGCCTTTAGACTGCTCTGTGGTTGGGTCCAGGAACCCAAAGAGTTAACCTTCCCCCAGAAATTTGTCAATCCCTGAACAACAGAGAGATATTGTTAGCCCCTCTCTGTTACCAGCATGATTCTGCCTAGCTAGAACTGCAGATCCAGACCATACATTCCCTGTTCATTGCAGCTGCAGTCTCTGTTACAGGCTGGACAAGATGCATGCTGGCTCCTTATTTAGGGACCTTATAGGAGACGAAAGTCAGAGCCTGGAGAGGGTCAGGCAGCCAAGCTCTGGCCTTGTGGCTCAAGGGAAAGAGGTCATAGAAACTGAGAGGGTTGTCATCATGGGGGCTGGGTTTAGGAAGAAGACCTTTCTGACCCTCTGCCTTACCCATACCCACACCTTCACCCTGACAGCTGAAGAGGCCTTTTAGAGTGGCTTTCTGACCCCCAGGGTAAACTGTGACATTAACAGTTGAGATTGCCTGGAGATGAGGGCTCTGGGAAACAAGATTTCATTATATCAGGTTTGTTGCTACCTACTCTTCAACCCCAGGGCACAAGCACCTTGGAGAGTTGTGTGTGATGAAGGAGGACTGGGAATACAGCACAGGGGTGGGGGACTATCTACTCTGCCCTGGACATGACCTCCATGTCCTGTAGACAAAAGCTGGTCTCATAGAACCTCAGAGCCAGGCACACTGCAGACAATATTGTTTGGAATTTAGCTAGACAAACATAGAAGTGAATGATTAATGAGTGAATCAGTGAGTGAAAGGGGATTGAAAACAGCAGGTCATTTTAAAAAGGTATTTTTTGACTTATATGTTATAACACAGTTTGCAAAATACCCTGAAAAATAAAAACAAACAGATTATTGAGTGTTAATGGCCTCTGACAGTGCTCACATGTTGGTATGAGTCTTCCCACATGTTGGCTTTGGTGGTTGGTGATTTTAAAGGCTTGGTTGAGTATATCCTGTTTTTTTTTTTTTTTTTTTTTTTTTTTTGGCTAACAACACACCAGCCTTTTCCTGTTTTGTAACCAGTTCTTTGTGAACACCAGTGTTAACATCTTTAGGCTTTTTCAGTCAAGTGGATTTGCTATAATTTGCTTAATACTGCCCTTTGTTCCATATACTGGAACAAAGTGATGTGCTTGGGTATATTTTGTGTAAAGAGCCTTTTCTGATGTTTAAGGTTATTTTCTTAAAATGCCACTGTTGCTGTTGCCACCACCGTGAAAGACTTCGGCATGCCTGCAGTGGAAGAAACAGGCTTCTCTAGCTTTCTTGGGCTAAGTAGGACACTGTTCTTCCTTTCCTACTATCTAGAAACTTCTAGTGCTGAAAAGAACCCTGGCAATGAGTCACTGGTCTGACCTCCCTATTTTGACAGAAGAGGAAACCAGAGCCCAGAGGGGAAGTAAGTCCCAAGGTCACACATCAAGAACATGCTACTGATCTAGTATTTGGGTTATTTATCTGGGAAAAATCCTAAGTTGAGCTTGCCCATTTCATAGATCAGAGACCAGATGAGGAGAAACATTCATCTTGCCCCTGCTGTTTCTAGCTGGGTCAGTAGAAAATAGACTCCTAACCTCATCTGTGTTATGTACACTGCTGATGGGTCCAGAGCTACTACCCCGGTTGGCTGGCCACGGGCTCCCTGTTAACCCTTCCTACAGCTTTTATTCCCCTTTACCATCTTATTTTCCAAAGGGAAAGCCTGAGGGTCAAAAGCAGGTGCTCCAAGAGGGTGGGGCTAAGTTCAGGCCCCATGTGGTCATTTCCCCATCTCTGTCTCAAGTTCCAAGTTCAGAGACCCAGCTGTGGTCTGTTAAGAGCTAGAGAGGTGTAAGCACCTATCAGATATACTGTGTCTGAAAGGGTTAACAGTAAGTCCTTTTAGAATTCTTCTGACCTGAGGTTGACTCTAGATGCTTGAGATGAAAGGGAAGAAAAGAAACAGTTGAAACGGTGATTCCAAAATGTGAAGGGAGCTTGGAAGGAAGAGAATGAAGGGAGAGAAAAAAAAAAAAAAAAGAGAGAGAGAGAAATAGAAAAGATTTAGGTCAAATGAAGGAAGTAAAGAGAAAATTCTATGTGCCTCAGGGTCAGGTACCCAGAGGAAAGGTTAGGGACATTAGTCCCAGTAGGAATGTCAGGCCAGCCAGTGCTGGGTACCTTGGGTGGCTATGTAGGGCTGAGTGCTGCTCTATCACCTTCTCCTTAGGGGATGGGACAGAGAAGCTACCTGCCTGGGCCTTGGTTTGAGTCCTTCTGACCCCAAAGATTTTACACCCAATCCTGGAGACCCTTGTAGCAGGCAACTGTGGTTTCTGATTCCCCACCCAAGGACAGGGCCCTTTTTGTCTCTTCCCTGCCAGCACTTCAGCCCTGAATGTTAAAACTGTGCTGAATATGGACATGTAGAGATTTGTGTGGTATGTCTGTGCAGGTGAGTGCTCATCTGTTTGTCGTGTTTTGGGGTGTGCCAGTGTGTGTGCCTCTAATCCTACTACCCCCTTGTTTATGTTTTGAGACAGGGATCTCACAGTGTAAACCATGCTGGCCTCCAGCTTGTGACCTTTCTTCCTCCACATGCATATTCCTGTCTAGACACACATGCCTGTGTGCCCTTTTGTGGGTGTGTGCACATCTCTGAAGGTATGTGTTGGGGGTGGGATGCATGATTGTATGTGTGTGGTTGTGAGCACATACTTCCTCCTGAAGGCCTTGAGGAGACCCAGGAGCCAGGCTTTTGTGCAGTTTTCAAGGTTGTAGATGGTAGGTAAAAGTGAAGTATGGCCTTTTGCTGGGAGGGGTACACTGGGAAAGCAAAAGGAATGAAAATCTTAGAAGACTGTCTTCTTTGTGGTCTCCAAGGAGATCAGCCTGTGAAATGATCCACATGTTAATTAAAAACGATTATATCCTGATTGAGCTTTTCCTGCTCAACCCCAGCCAGGAAGAGGCTGAGGATGAACAGAGGGTCTGGATAAGCAGGGTCCAGCAATGGACTTTGGGCACAGGTTTGGAGGGCTATGGCAGGTGCTGGGGGTGCATGCCCAGTAAGGGCTCCCCAAGGTGATATCCTTAGGTCCCAGGAGCTGGATGACAGCCATCAGAACCCCATGGGTCTGTACTCATGTACTGGTGCTACATTATTATTTACATAACTGTGCATGTTGTCATGTGCTTCATGCAGCCAGATGTGGGAACTCCAGGCTGTCCTTGGTTCTCTGGCCTCAAGGCCCAGTCTGTTCTTTTAGTTCTTAGCTGCTCCCAGATTCCCACTTTGAGTTTCTACTTCTGCAGAAGCTCTGAGAAGCCAGGTCTCAAGACTGAGAGAATCTTCTCATTCTCCATGTTACTCCAAAGTTTCTTCTTTTCTGAGGCCCATTTTACCCAGGAAATAAGCAATTTGACAATTCACTGCCCAAGCAGTTGTCTCACTTGCATCATTTGTACCTCATGTCCTGTGTTTGCTGATGGTCTGTAGCAGACCCTGCAGCCACATGTGGGGTGCACGCACTAAGATTTCTCTAGGAAAGCCCAGGCCTGGCATTGCTATGTTTGCTTGATTATCTTACCTGTTAACCCAAGGCCTCCTCTGGTAGAGAGGAGCAGTCGCAAGCATTTGGTGATAGACATCCCTGTAAACCTGCTCACCTCAGCATCTGGTGAGCCTACCCACTCCTGCACCTCTTCCTGCTCCCACACACTAATTGGCTGCCTCTGCCCCTGGCCCACCCAGCTTCTCTGAGAGGGAGAGACTCATATCCAAAAGAATCCAAGTCCACTGCCCCAAAATACCTGAGCTGTATTCTCCCTTTTGTGCAATAAGGATGATAGCTTTTCCTGGCAGGTCTGTCAGTAAAGTGAGGTAGGCTTTGCTCAAGTGCCTGGCAGCCCCTGGCGCAAAAGGACTCATCTGTGTATCTTTACACCCAGGACATCTGTGTGCTGCTATGGGGGGA